AGCTTCTTCTGTAGCTAGCCTCAGAAGTATCCAATGTTATCGAAACCGATTAACTATAGTGTTAAAGCCAAGATGAATTGTAAAGCTGTGTGTAATGCTGTTATTTACCGCTATGTCTGAGAATTGTGCTGTAGTGTGTAGTGAGCTTGAACATTGGCGACTAGAAGTGATGTAACTTACTTTTATAAGTGTACAGAAATCCATCCAACGGTGGTTTTGTTCTTAAAAGTCGACACAATTGGTGTTTTTAAGAAAATGTCCCGCTTGGTAGTAACACTATAGCTTTAGCCCATACCACAATGCTTCATGTGTTGAGCTACTGAGGAGAAACTCCTAAACAGAAAATTAACTAGAAAATTAAGTCCTGTGATGACTTTCAGGAATCAGACAAGCTAGCAGGTATCAGAGAAAAACAAGACAAGTTCTATGACATCATAGTTTAAGATCTCCACATTCTATGGAGGAATGTTATAGAATGAGACCAGGCTGGACAACATTCTCTTTATTTCACTGGATGTGTCATCATAGAAGCTGTGAGTTAAGGTTCTCTCAAGCCCAGTCCCAGTGTCCCCCTAAGGCCTTAAAACCCTGAACCCTCAGGACTTACTGACATCACCTGGTAAGTGGTTGAGTGTGAGAGACTGAAACGGTGTAAATACGAACGGGACAGCACTTTGCTGCTACATATCACGTTACCATGACATTATATCATATCATGTGATGTACCATTGTAAGTATTTATTTAATACTTTTTACTCCATGATCTGAACGTCTTCCAGGCTTGTCAAAACAGCTTTAATAAAATTAAAAGAAATGGTTGATGAATAAATCAGCTGCGTATTATAGTATGAGTTTTTATGTTCCATTTTTAATGTTTGTGTAAATGTAATATACAATGTGCCATCTCCATGCATCCACTGGCCCCCATGTTTAATGTCACATTGCTATGAATTGTGGGTTTAAGTTTGAGCACAGGCCACTACATCCAGCTATTATTGCACACATATGTACGAGTAATCACAGACAACTGCTCTTTAAAATATAACAGTTTATTAAATAAAATAATAAATGATCAAATCAAGTAATATCAAAATCAACAAACACTATCATACAATTATATGTCTAATACCTAAAGTCAAATGAATAAAGTGGGGTAGGGATATGTATATAGACATATACGTGTGTGTGTGGAAACGAAGGGGGGGGCGGGGCTACTCAAACAGTGATGGTACATAACCTAAAAAGGGGCGTGTGAGCCTACAAGCAAAGATGGCGGAGTCTCGGGACCCGCGACAAGATAGCTGAGAGGTGGCCATTTGTAACCACGTGGGACGGCGCACAATGTGGGTTGGACAATAGATTACGCGACCACGTGTCTGAGAGGTTCACCCAAAATCAGTGAATCTAAGTGTGTGTGTGTGTGTGTGTGAGTGAGAGAGAGATCTGAGCGCGGTGCTCGGCGCTGCAATGAGAATGTGAGGAACAGCTGATCACTCCTAAAACTCTGCGGTCGAATTCTGAACCGACCGGTCACGCTTGTACGGTGATAGTTGCGGTTCTCAATCTCACTCACAGAGCCGATTTAAAGAAGAGAGAATAAAACCAAACAAAATAAAATAATCCCCAAACAAAACAGATCTTCATCACTGCGGTGAGATGTGAGTATTGCCCTCTTATCACCCCGAAACTCGGTCGGCGAGACGAGGCTCCGCCACCGTGGTTTTGGTCTTTGAAGTGATAAAATCACAACCTCCACATCCACTAGCAGCGACGGATCTAATGCGAACGGTTACAGCAGGAAATACACAATATAACGGGACTCCGTGGTCCGCGATGCTGGCGCAATAACCCGTTATAACACGACAGTAACTTAACGTAATAAGATGCAGGAATAACAACGACATAACGAATAGGCTAAATTAAGCTAATGCTAAGCTAAGCTAGGCCCAGATACCAGTAACTCTTACTTGTAGAAGCTTTGTTCGGTAGGGTACGTTTCCCGTGGTGGGGATCACTCGGTCCTCGAGTAGCCGCTGGCTCTCGGTGGCGCGGCCTCGGGGCTGGCTGGCGCAGACTCTGCCTCCTCGCTGCAGAGAGGGGCTTTTTAACTTCGGCTTAGGGACGAGGTTTGGGTCATCTTTCCCGGAAATCTTCGGCGAGGAAAGATTGTTACCTTCTGCCGGCGGTGTGTACACAACAAGGGTGGGAGAACGGGGCATAGGAGTTATCCGTTCTCGCACTACAGGATCCAAAACTCAAAATAAAACACAGTCTGTTCGACAAGCGAATGTTACATGTGACCTGATAGGATTTGATAAGGCCGCGGTTCCTCATGGATCTTCTTGTCCCCTGGACGAGTCCGGAGTGAAGAGGCCTTGTGGACCTCCTTACACCAGCGGTGTCTGGACGGAAGAGGAAGAATTCTAGCTGTGCTCAGGCTTATAAACCAGGTGGCACAACCAGTGGGGGGCCCTTTCTTGGCCAATGAGGGACCAGCATCAGGTTCCTGCTGGAGCTGGGGGGTGTGGTCATCCGGCATGGGGTTTCTTGCAGACCCCAGGTCAGGTGTTTTGGTGACAGGAAGGAACATGGCTGCTCCTTTGTTTGAAAAGCACGTGTGAAGGTCTCAGCCAGCCAGGACAGCAGGGTCAGATCCCAACAGTGAGAGAGCCCTCAAACTCTCCACAGCTGACAGTGGGACAGAACTAAACCCTCACAGACTTTGTGGCCCGTGAGTGTGGAGATTGGGCCTAACTGTGATCCTTCTCCTGTGGTGTCCAGTCCACAGGATGTCTCTGACTGGTTGACTCTCTCATGCGTGAGAAAATAATGCAAAGAAGTGGAATGGTTACTTTCTAATTCATAAAACAATAAACTGCTAGAAGATCAGATGGCCTTAAAAGACAACTGGTTAAAAAAAGAAACCGTAATAAATCTCTTGGTTTGGTCAACATGATAAGTTATCAGACACAGATTACCACAATTCAAATTGGGGAATGGCATTATACTGTGTAAACATGAGTTATAAATATTTTTGTCGTCACACGTGCGAAATTAACATGGGTGAATATTCGCCTCCGGTTCACTTCCATTCTATGCGAGCGAAGCGGACGAAAATAAAACATTTGCTTCCGGTGGTGAAGCGAAATTTGCATCTTCACATCGCATGGAGTTCAACTTTAGTGAACTCTGACCCTCAAGCAACAGAAAAGACTGCTGGGTTCCAAATCGCATACTTTTTCTTTTTAGTACATACTACAGCTGCTCTCACAAAGTACATACTGCAGCATGCAGTTTGCCTTCAGTTGGGACAGACTACTTCCTCATAACATGGCACCTTGAACTTTACTCATATAACTTTGACGCAAAGGATTGTGGGACAGAATAGCCAGAAAAGCATGCTGGCTTGCAAAATGCGACCGGATGTTGGTACACTGCATTTGACACAGTATGTATTGGGACGTACTAAATAATTTTCTGGCATACTAAATAGTGTGCTAGTATAGGTATTGGAATGCACAGGATGCGTGTGGTGGTGGACTCTACTTGGCATCGCCCACATTCAGCAAGAACATCGCCTCGTGTGACTGTACAGTTACAACAATTGACCGGACTTAAACACAGTCCACACACATTCACCAGTCTGACCCCAAAATAATCCTCATGTCCCCGTCTCCCTCAGGCCCCAGCTTATCACCTGATCCTGGAGGGGATCCTCATACTGTGTATCATCAGACTTCTGTTCTCTAAGACCTACAAACTTCACGAGACCTATAAACTGACAGAGAAGGTAAGCACAGCACAGAGGAAGACAAACCGTGTGCGTGTGTGTGCGTGTGCGTGTGCGTGTGCGTGTGCGTGTGCGTGTGCGTGTGTGTGTGTGTGAGAGACACACACCAAACCGCTGTCATGTGGTTCCGTGTTGCAGGAGAAGGAGGACCTCATTGAGGAATGGCAGCCGGACCCTCTGGTTCCTCCTGTTTCCAAAGACCATCCCTCCCTCAGTTATGATGTGGTCACAGGGTAAGACACCCAGACACTGCTTTTTAATGTTTTCTGAAGCCAAGGATCCATCCAAGTGTGCTCCACTATTTATTCTAGATTGTTCTCAACACGATTCATATTGACCATTTTAGACCAATATGAAGCCTCACTATATAAATGAAGTCGAACATGAAATCAAAGGCCTTGAAATAGATATAGTACATATTTAATTAATTGTGATACATTTTCTTGTAGCTTTCCACACCTAATAGTATTATACATGTAGAGTGGTGCCCGGACCACCTCTACCTGTGTTAAATAGTACTGTTGTCATCAGGCCAAATGAACCCAACGGGAAAGGGATGCTCCACACACTCGCATAGGTTCAGACATGCTCGGTGTCTGACACTTGCTCTTCTTTCCATCGTTAAACATACCAGTGTCCTGTGTGTTATTTGCCAAATGCATCGAAACAAACTAAATATCAACCAAACCAAAGAATCTGACTGTGACACCAATAAGATAAGACAAGACATGTTTCTCACTGTGATGGATTCCCCAGGTTTAGCATGTTTCATGTCTCTGCTTGTTGAAGTAGAGACCTCAGTGAACGTGTTGCTGTGTGCTCTGAAGTCCATACACTGTTGCAGCGTGTTACAGGAAGCTAAACAGACAGTTTTCCATTACAGGCCTCCCAGCCACAAAATCACCATCAATGGAAAAGAGTGCATTAACTTTGCTTCATTTAACTTCCTGGGTCTCCTGGACAATGAGCGGGTTAAGGTCAGTAGTCATTATTTCAGCCGTCACTACCTGTATCTCGACATGCTGCCAGTGAGCATCTGTGTTTTAATGGAGTTTCCAATCCATTCGTTTTTTTCTCCTTAATACAGCAAAAAGCTTTGGCATCACTGAAGAAATATGGTGTGGGCACATGTGGTCCCAGGGGCTTCTATGGAACTTTTGGTGAGTGGAAACGCCTTATCTGCTTTTCATCTTCTATTGTCAATCCACTATCCACTAATTCAATCGTGTGTAGAGTAAACACAGAGGCTGTTCACAGTATGTCTCCAAAGGTTTGCTCAAATGTGGATATTCTGCAAAGGGGTGAGCCTGAGTAGCCACCAAGGCTGACGATAGGCTGAGACCTCGCTCGGTCAAGAAAACACATTCCCAAAGATACTGTTCATAAAACTTGTTTTTAGTGCTAGTGGCTCCACAGTCTGGTACGCTCTCTGCCTCAGCTTTTCCTTTTTTTCTCTTCGTATATACAGACTTCCAATTTGAATCAATCAAGATAGACAAAAGTCCACCTTAAAAACTATTGTTACTGTCAGGTATTAGTCATCAATTGCATCTTTATTTATGGTGCTGTGAGATTGATATCCACCCACCACCACAAATAACCCTCACACCGATTCCACAGTGATTCCATTCCAGCTTCCAGCTGTCCCATTATTGAGGGTGAACACTGAGCTAAACATGTGGGTAGGTGTCTGACAGCATTATAGAATGAACCCTACAGAGAAATAGTCTCTTTCTTTACTTTTCACTTCATCCAGACTTTTTGTCATTGAGTGTCTCACTCAAGGAGAAGTCTCGTTCTGAAATCTCGCGTCACCTCCACATTGTTGAAATCAGCTAAATATTCCACCATGATATTGAAGATCTTTCAGATAACACTAAGCTACGCTTTCTGTCCTCCTCAACACAACAAACTGTGACAACACCGGCACTCCTCTCTGTCTAACTCTCACTCACGTTGTCATCAATATTTTCAGACAACAAGACACCGACATAGAAAACAAACAGAAAAAGAAAGATAAAGAAACTCACTTTTATCCTCTGTAGGGTTCTCTCCGTAACTTTGTCAGACACTTAGAATAATAATCAGAGCCGGTCAGTGGTAAAAACTAAAACCTTTTAGTGGACGTACATTGATGTTGTGCTATTGCCCACGAAGGATTACATTGCAGCTTGTTCAGCAGCTGCCATCTACAGCGTTCTCCCTCGATTTTTAAAAAGTGTTTAGTCACTGAGACACAAATCTAGGGAAAAATGGAGCCATCATGAGAGCAACTACATCTGAAAGATATCCTTCAGAGTTTTCTTACAAATAAACACAGTTGACTGTAAGCTAAGCCCCGCCCCCCACTGCTACGCCATCGAGCAGTCAGAGCTACCATGAAGCCCACACTGTCACTAACTGCACTCCTTAAATATAATTCTATAAAATAACGATAGAAGCTACAGATCAGTGTAAAAGTGAACCACCACATCACCTGGAGACAGAAGACAATAAAATGAAGGAACAACAGTGTTCCTGTAAAGACGGCTAGATCTTTATTCACTGTCACAATTATTTAAAGGGAACGCAGCATGTGTATACTTTCAGTATACCTTCAATAGCTAGCATAGCATTGAAGTGCTAATGCTAGTTAATGATGTACTAAGGTTCTCTGCTAACCTTAGCTCCACGTTTTACACGTAGAAACGTGCATCTCCTTCCAACCTTTCCGGGTAACAAGTATCACTATTACACAACGTTTAACCATGACGAGCTCCAAATCCAAAGACCAGTATGAAAATGAAGAACATCTGAAGCCACTGATGAATGTCTATGGAGCAGAGCCGGATAGTTGTCTGATCCTGGTCAGAGCTGACTGATGCTACGCTATGATTGGCCAGTCTGCTTTCAAGGGGCGGGGACACCAAAATGTCTCGAATGCAGTTCCTTCCTCCATAAAACATTTGCAAAGTCACTTAAGAGACCTGGATTGTCTACATCCATGTTTACCAGATAACAGTCTTTGCCTTCCCTGCATTTGTAGGCAGGAGTGTACATGTCATCACCAATGTGCTCGTGCATAAAATTTAAACAAAACAGAGGTTTGCTTCTAAACCAATGGCCCCATAGCGCTGTAGGGCACTTCCACAGTGGTTATTAAGCCATAATAGTCATATTTAAAATGTCTTTTATTGCCACACAAAGTCTTTCCTCATATCCTCATTGAACCATGTTAGTTTATTCCCTGCAAGCCTAAATATGTTCTATCATAGTAAATAGAAATTCCCAGTGTACTCTGGTGTAACTAGTTTCTTGTTTCTGTTCCCCAGATGTTCACCTGGAGCTGGAGAGTCGTCTGGCCAAATTCATGAAAACAGAAGAAGCCATCATCTATTCTTACGGCTTTGCTACCATCGCCAGTGCGATCCCTGCCTACTCCAAGAGGGGGGACATCATCTTTGTGTGAGTACTGTCTCTGCTAACGTGTGTAGAGCATTATTAAACCAGGATTCACTGATCGGACTTCAGACTCAGAAACAAATGACATTTTACTTTGTTGTAGGGAGCCTGAGAATTACGGCTCCACTGTAATTGTTGTGCATATGACAAATAAAGACTGTAACTACAATTACTGTCAGCACTGTTAGTTCCTTAAAGGTTCGGCACAGGAAAACCACTTCTACCATCTCAAGCCTGCATATGTTTATATGTCAGCGTGGCTTGTTGTGTTTTTAGTTTTGTGTTGTGTCTTTCTCCGTGTGTTCAGGGACGAGGCGGCCTGCTTCTCCATCCAGAAGGGTCTTCAAGCTTCCCGCAGCTTCATCAAATACTTCAAACACAACGACATGGAGGATCTGGAGAGGATGCTCAAGGAGCAGGAGCTGGAGGACCAGAAGGTTAGTTCAGGGGTTTTATTTGGGGGGGTCACAATGTCCCTTGTGTTTTCGCAGTATTTTTATAATGCTGTTTCCACTCTGTATTCATGCCTTACTGTCTTGTGTCAAAGTCTCATAAACTAATATAGTTTGTTTCTGTGGCAGAATCCTCGTAAAGCCCGAGTGACCCGGAAGTTTATTCTTGTGGAGGGTCTGTACATCAACACTGCAGACATCTGTCCTCTGCCTGAACTGGTAAATAGAAAGACTGCTTATCATCCTCCACAATAAAACTAATCTCATGGATTCATAAGCTGTGCAGAGGTGCTGTCAGGGGGGAGCAATGATTCAGTGATTATCAAGAGGCACATGCACAACCATATAATGTCCCCTTAGAGCATATCAAAGTGAGGAGGACACAGTGTGAGTTGAAACCGGGGGCCGTTTTCTTTTTGTATTTATTACTTTGATATGCTGTCATGAATAAGGAAGGTGTTTTAACTCTGTGCGAGTGCGCTGAAGTAAGCCCTCGGGCCTCTCTTTTTCTGTCGTAAATCTGTTTACAACAAATAAATCTGTTAGGAACATAATTAGTGTAAAAACGCCATAACCAGACAAAGAAAAAGGTAGACAACACACAAGTGTAGCTCAAAATGTTTTAAGATGCCATAAATATATAATAAATAGGGTCTGAACATTTAAGCAGGGGTCTGACACTTTGGAGAATCCAGCAAGATTATGCTAGATGTTAAAAATGATCTAACTGATAAGTAGAGATGCACCTATCGATCGGCTGCTGATGGAAACCAGATGTTTTTCAGCTGATCGGCCATGACAGATGATCAGTTTCATATTCCTGATTTTTTTCGCGGTCACGTTTACACATGTGGGAGACGTTACATGATAGTTTTACCTCAGCACACGGCGGCACAGACGGTTACGTCACATCCACAGAGACATATGTTGGTGGTGAAGTAAGTCCAAAATAAGCCTTGGAGGAACAGCCTTAAAAACAACTTGATCAGGCACTTATCAAAGTTTAACTCATTCCCATGCATACTGCTCAGAGTAATAGCAGTGACCGGCTCGTCTGCAGACAGCACAGAGCTACACAGCTAACGTTAACGGAGGCTAAATTAACTTGCATGATGCATTCAATCTCTTCTCAGTGATGTGTTCAAATGTGATCAAGTAAAATGTCGTTTTATAATGAACGCTAAAAAACAAACATGGCTATTATGAGCACTCACAGCTGCCAAGCTAGCAGCTTGGGAAAGACTCTCAATGAATGCCCGGCCAGAGTGTGTGT